AGCGCCATTGACACGAAGGCTTCAATACTAGACTCACGACTGGCAACATCCTCAACCTCTCACCGATCCGCGAACTGACCGTGCTTCCTTTCTCTAGGGTTTAGCAGACAGACAGTGGTGGGCCCGATAAATGGGCCTGTACTTTCTCTGGACAGCATTTTCAGCCCAATATAAAATAGGCCCCTTGGCTTTGGGTTTTTTTTTTAAAATCATGAATGGATCGAGGGAGACGCTGCCTTTTCCCCCCCATTTTGTCAAAGGAGAGACATCGCATTGGGGAAAGGAACATGGTGTTGTGCCCCAAAAAAAAAAAAAAAGAATAATGGTGACCAACAAAAGCTTAGCACAGTTGGTAGATGACTAAGGGGGTGTTTGGATAGAAACCAAACCATTATTTCAAAAGTGCTTTTACGGATTACGAAGTAAATATGTGGAGGAGATTACCTCGTTTTGCGGAAAAATGCTTCTGAAACCATGGTTTTGGGTTTCCCAAACACCCCCTAAGTCCCTTGAATATGATGTTTTCGGTTCAGACCAGACCATGTGCATAGAAAAAACTTTGTTCAGAGATGCAAAATTCACTTTGATGATCTCTATATCTCGAGAAGATTAATCTATAGTTATCTAGTTTCTGCCAAAAAAAAAAACGAGAAGAAGAATAACGGTGGGAATATTAGAATGGGTGCTGTGGGGTCATCAATTTTGAAGCAGATAAGAATTAAAACAAATTAGTGAGGCGATGTGTGAAGAATATTTGATGTTTGTGAGTGTCATAATCAGCTCATAAACAAATAACGCTATTGCAATTAACTAATTAATGCATAGGGATTTGGTTAGGATCTGCGGGTAGAGAGGGATTATTATTATAACTGCAAAAACAACACAAGTCGTCGTTTGGCTATTGTCAGGATTAAGGCGTGCCCTGGCTATGGGACCTTCAATCACGGACATGCTTTGGTTCTTATTATCAATATTATCCCCGTCGACATTCATTTGACAATTGACAGAATTATATAAATTGTTAAGTTTCAAGTATCTTGGTTCTACCTTGCAGGATTCTTCTCTTGCGTTTTTTTGTGTGTTAGGGATATTCCCTTGCACTTTACAGGGCGATATTAAGCTTCCATGTCCTCTCATCTGGCGTGCTAATTATTAAATTTTGTGACGCTGCTTTTTTAATTAATTAAAAGTACCGTTTCTAATGGCCCTAGCTTCTGGGGAACCTCATCAACACTTACCCATGTTCTTTAAAATGCCTCGCTTCATGAAACACACACCCAGTTTAGTGTTTCTTGAGATTAAGGCGAATATGTCTGGCGTTTGTTACAAACCCGAAAATAAAAGAGCAGCAGATTTGAATAAAAGATACTGAAATCCTTGGCGCAGTTATTATATATAATTAAAAGATTTTCAAAAGAATAAGCTAATGGGCCCTAAGTTTGAAACTGTCATCACACACACACACACACACACACACACACACAACTGCTACAATTTCAATCTGTGTCAAGTGTCAACCATTTCTAACGGATCATGACCATGGCTTATACCACGGAATCCACAGTCAACAAATATGCACATCTAAAATAGTGGTACAACTGTAATCAACTACTCTATACAATGCAAGACATTCACTTCTTCGACCGTTTGAGCAAATTAACGAAGTAAGAATTGGGAGGTCTATATGCGGCCGGATGTGATGAATGATGATGTAAAAATTAGAGCTAAAGCATCCCTATAATTAATTAATTAATTCTTCTTGTCTTCGATTTTCACACTATCTACAGACTAACTAGACGGCCAGATCAGGCTTTCCTAGTCATACATAGGACGGCTAGTGACAAGAAACGATATATACTTCGACAATTAACACTCCCGTTGATTTCAATCAAACGGCTTATACAAGCAATCCGCCAGCACACAACTTCAAGATATCTGTGACGATGAGGCAAGCATTTTTCAAACAGTTGGTTTTCAGTCAATATCACAGACGAAAAGAAGGCGTTTGTGGTGCACAAAGTATGGTTGTTTAATTACTATCCTTTGACCTTTAACCAATTACAACGCACTGAACTTACATGCATCCTTCCGTCCTTGAACAAAGCAAAAAAAAAAAAATCATCAGATGATGGATATTTCGATCGTTGAATCGTCTGCAGATGTGGATATACCAGTTCTGGGTCAAAATATTAGGCATGCATCTTAACAACAAAGTTGATTAAGTCTCGGATACATCCAATGCATGATAAGTCCAGCTGTTGAATTGTTTCAAGAAAAAGTGGACCAGAGTCCTCTTATCTTCTTAGTCAGCACAATCAATTTCGTAGACTTAAAGAATATGCATAAATAGGATTCGAATCCAATGCGAAATAGTGCAATATATTTAAAACAAGTATAGTTCCATGTTGGTCATGTTATTCGGCTGGTAAAATATTTACTGAACATGTGCAATAATTACTTTAGAACTTATTTTATGGAGAGCGTACAATGAAGGATTACTTCTTTAAACAAGCAGAGACTTAGAATATCCCTTAATTACAAATATCAACTAATAATAAATTCCTCGATTTGGCCACATTTGTGAATTGTGATCGCTGTTGTCAAATCATGAGTTGACTTTTTAAATTTGATGTTTTTACGTTTTTAACTAATAAAATCGTGTTGATTCGCTCTTAAACTCGTGATACTTATAAACTCGGTTAAACTTACGAGTTCATTTACCGAGTTTATTGTTTTTAAATTTTTAGCTTACAAAATCGTGTCAACTTGCTTTTAAACTCGTGCTAAGTTTTGTAATTTAATTATGTTTAGTGACTTTATATATGAATTTTATAAAAAAATTTTTGTTAAATATGATAAATTCTAAATATTGATAGGTATAATTTCAATTATTTAAATTTAAAATATATTTAAATAAAATTGTTCTTATTTTTTATATATTAATTATTTGATTATGTACTTTTAATACTAGCTTATTAATAAAAGTAAACTCTTACAATTCGTAAAAAAAAAAATTCTTACAAGTTCACGATCTAAATTTGCAATTTGAATTTATATCATTATCATGAGTTTGTTTAAACCTGCGAGCTTGACAACCTTAGTTGTGATCATATGCATTCCAATTTTGCGAACAACCTTTAGCTTGGCAATCTCTTTGAACATTCCCTACATAGCTAGCAATTATCGCACGTTATTCACTGCATAACCATAAGTGGAGAGAAGAAAACACACTCTCATATATATATATTTGTAATGTAATACTCAGGCTTTAGATCTCTCGTAGGTAATTGCGGTTTTCTGACCTCTAATCATAGTGAATGATGAGATTATGAAATGCATGAATCGATACTCTTTGACCTCGGGAGCATCAACGTTTTCACCGTTTGACAAAACCCTTTTAATAGGACTCAACTACATGATAATTAATATATAGGGCCTTTTCTCTGTACTGGAGAGAGAAGGGGAGGCATAGGGGCAAGTGGAATGGGAAAAATAAAGAAATAGCAGAAACAGTGAAACATAGGAGAGTCATAAATCTAATCCATGGTCCATCTGTGCATAAATAATGCAGCGCATTAATTAGCAGTCTAGCCATGAGTCTAGATTAAAAACGAAAAACAGAAACGGATCAAACGAGTCTAGACATTTAATGTAAAGATACACTCCCGCCCCACAAAATCACAATATACCATGCAAATATATTACTAACTTCAGTTTTTAATATAAGATTTATCTAATTAATTTGAAAAGATTAAAAAATTAAATATAAATTACTTAATTATAGCATGTTTTATGATCTAACTAAAATATTTATATGAATCACTAGATTATATATTGATTTATGCATGAGCAAGTTATTATGGAGAAAAACGATAAATATAAATAATTTAATAATTTTTTTAAATTAGTTAACTGAATTTTATATTAAAAACTGAAAGAAGCAAGGGTAATATGCGGAAAGTTTGAGAAATGACTTCTTCTATCAAAGGGTCTCTTCAACATAAAATAATTCTTATTATGGAAAGCCTCATCTCCTAGAACAGTACATTCGCTCTACATGATGAAATGTTGTATATTTTGTACCATATATAGTAAAGAAAAATCATGATTTAGAACGTAATTTCTCTACTCTCGCCTAACACTGCAAAACATTATGATGTTGATTCTTCAATTATCAATAGTCTGCAAACTAATTGTGCAAATACATGAAGCTGAACTTCAAGTCGAATGCGGGCCAAAGATCAAACCTTAAGTGCTATAGAGAGAGAGAGAGAGAGAGAGAGAGAGAGAGAGAGGAAACTCTTAGTGACAGATGGCCAAGTGTAAATTTATTTCAGTTTCCTCCTGACGACGAGTCACTGGTACATAAATAGAATAGAGATTGTGCCACACGCATAAATTCTACTTATCTAACTAGCTATGCACAGGAATGCATACTCAAAGGGTGGCGACAAGGGAGATAATAAGGCTTAAATTGAAATAAAATCTTCAAAATCTTCCCGTGCGCTATACAGAACTGCAAATTGTCATGGCTTCATTCTTATTTTCTCCAAGAGGAACATAGAAATTAAAGCTGACACACGAAGAGTCCCACGAATGCTTTTCCGACAGTACTCTTGCTTGCATTTAAGATATTACGCGTGAGAAAAATGAAGAAAACTTTTTTTAATCATTTTTCGAACAAAAACACATTGAATTTATACATTTTATAATTCATAAGTTTCAAGTTTTATTCGATTAAAGGTTGCAAATAGTTTTCATTGGACAAACATTATGACAAAAATTCGAGCAATCATCCCCACAAATCTACAGTAGTATCCGGTTTAGAATAGATGAGGCTACCCCTAGTACCCTCTCCTTTGAATTCCTATCCAGATCTTACCCACACAACACATGCCAGTAATTTCAATAATGGGCTTGTGATGAATGCTTCTCTTCAGTGACCCTTTCACTACAAGATGAACTGAATTAATTTCTGTTTGAAAACTCAGGCACTCATGCATTAATGCTGCTAATTAAAATTCTAGTCAGAACGCGAACAATGTTTCAATGCACTCAAAATTACAGACAAATACACGAGGTAGTCAGATAAACTTAAGTGTCAGTAAAGGAAACAATCATGGAACAGCTAGAGAGCAGACACATATGATGGCCAGCTATATGTACATATATATAGCCAGCTGAAGATATTCCTATATGAAGGAAACCAGCTGAAGCTTCCCTCTAGTTTGCTACGTACAAATGGCTAATCAAAGCAGTGAACAATGTACATGATACTAGTGGGCACCTGGATACCTCAACTCCTGAAAAGCAAATTGCTGATCAGTTGGTGGGATACATTCGTAATCGGAGGAAAGTAGAGGAGGACTAACTATGGTGTTGCTGTGACACGAGGCGGTAGGGTCTATCTTATCATCATGATTGATCAAGAATTCCAGCCCATCTAGGCTAGGGGGATAAGATACGGACATTATTTCCTCCTGTGCTTGGGTGAAAGTGCTGCTTCCTTGCACCAAGTTATTAAGTCCAGAGTGGTAATGGAGATGAGGGAATTGAAGTTGGTTATTGTTCATAGCGCCTGCGGAAGCAGAAGAAGAAACTTGATAAATTGGTGATTGTGCGGAGGGATGAGTGGCATCTGGTAAATGAAAATTGAACCCATCAGGCTGGTCAGAAAACACTCCTCCAAGCTTGATAAGCAGTTTTCTAATGGAATCTTGGTCGTTGAAACCTGGGACTTGGTCTGAGTAAGGCAAGGGTGGCAGCACTGGCATCATCTGGGGGTGAGGCCAATACGGTTGTTGTTGAGCCTGAACCTGAACACTACTGTTTTCTCCAAGGATCGATGAATTCCCAACAGTACTCTTATTCGCTCCCTGCTTATTCTTGCCCCTACAACGAGCCTGTTGTTCTTTGCGGTGCTTTCCCAGAAGCTTCTTCTTCAACCTTGTGTTCCAGTAGTTCTTTATATCGTTATCTGTTCGTCCCGGCAATTGAGCAGCAATCACCGACCACCTGCCGCCAGTTTACCCAACCAAACCGAACCAAAATCATTAGTGACTAGACAAGAGTAGGTAATACTATAGTTACAGTTGTGGGTTAGACATGGTCGAACCTGCTTCCAATGCTAACGTAGAGGCTGCATATGATGTTGTCCTCTTCTTCGGAGAAACCCCCGTGCTTGATATTGGGGCGAAGGTAGTTCAACCACCGTAGACGGCAACTCTTGCCGCATCTCTTTAGCCCTGATTCACAATAATCAAACAAATTCCAAGAATTTTCTTTCAAACATTTCTAGGATAGCTAAATAGAAAACCTAAAAAACTACTCGGTGTGTGTAATTAATTGATCAATACCGATCTTTTGTGGCAAAGCGATCCAGTTACCGCCGGTGCCGTGTTGTTCAATATAGGACTTGAGCTTCGCATCTTCTTCTGGGGACCAAGGGCCTCTCTTCACGTTCGCTTTGTCGCAGCAAGGAGCTCTCCCCATGTTGATGATGACTGAATGTACAGTGTTGCTCAGAGCTTGTTTGGACTTTGGAGCATACCTCTTCTCTCTTTTACAACCCCGAGTCAGAACAACAGGAGATTTAATAATAATAAAACTGGGAGCTGATAAACATGATTTTTATACAAACCCTATCTCGCTATTATTATATATCGGAGGTGTGCTACACACAGCGGCTGTATGGCATTGAAAATTCTTGAAATTTAGCACTGCCAGAACAGAAGAATAAGCTTTGTTCTCTTGTCTTTCTCATGCCCGGAATCATGAAGTTATATTAAATACCTAGTTGATAGATATAAAAATAATTATTTTCTTAGATAAATTAATATATATAATACATTTTTTTGATTACTTAATCATTTATATATTCTTCAGCACAGACGAGTCGAATATCTAACGCCATTAATTAACCGCATTTAATTAGGACCAGTGCATTGCTCAACTCTAGCATATATTTAATTTGTTTTTACAATTGAGTTTTAAAAGCGTTTCCTAACAACTCAAACAGTGAATATCAATTATTATCTTGGATTTATTCTATTACATGAAGGGACCCAAACTAATGCATACAATATGGACACAAATCTAAGCACCTGTGTCAATAAACTTTTCAAACTACATTAAGTGATCCCTAACTTCTCCTGTATTCCTTTTTACAGCGTATCTCAAGGATTTGTATTATTTCCATTCTCAATCATTTGAACTACAATCCCTAATTTACTGCACAATGATGAATGTAGATAGGCGATCAAGTGCATGTTGCTAACCCTAGTTGATCTACCCCTATCAGTACTCTCGCTTGGACTAACTCTGAAATAGTTGGCAAGGTGCTCATTGTTGGTGTCAATGCCTTAATTGGTAGGTCGTTTAAGTTTCTTCCTTTTTTTGAAATCATATCTTTTTGAAACTTCAAATCAATAATAGAGGTGAAATAGAAGAAACAAAAATCATGAGAAGAGTGATAATATGAAAATTAAATAAAGTGATCAACGCATTATTACGACAGTGGAAGGAGAATAAGACAAAGCATGTGGTCTCGGAAGTTGAGAGACAAAGAAAGATAATTTGATAATAAATTTTGTGGGGTCATTAATTTACCAATCAAACCATCCAAGTGGAAGAAAAACTCGCGATGTTGAAATTAAGAATCAACTGAGGTCAAATACATCTCATTGTACTCACTGGAAACATTTGGTCTCAATTGAAAAGGTTACAAAATTTCTAGAAGCAGGAAAAGGAGAAAGGCAGTGAGAAGTGGAAAATATGTGGGATATATTTTCCGTTTTGGTTGGTGAACAAACGACCAACAAGATAATTATTATTTCTGATTTTTAATATAAAAGCTAGTTAACTAATTTAAGTAAAATTAGTAAAATTAGTTATTTGTAATAAATAAGTTTTTTTTAAATATCCTTACTAATCATGTGCACTAACTAAAACTATCATTTGATGAAACCTTCAACATATGCAACTACTACAAGAAGTATTTTAAAAAAATGGATAAATATAAAAGATAAAGTAATTTGGAATCTTATATTTAGGATCAAATTAAATATCAAACTAATTCTAATATTAAGGATCTGATGTAGTATTAATAATTACTGGTGAGCCAGTGCTAATACTCTAGGTAAAAGCAGAACAATGAGTAATCAAATTTCACATCTGCTTCATAAAGGAGAGTTTCCAAGTCAAAGACAGGTTGAATCAAAAAGTCACTGGATGGTGTGCCAGAAAAGGGGAAATTTCGTTACCATACGTTAGAATTGGACACGATAGTGTTGCATCAGCGTCGTCATCTAGTTTGACCTTAAGAAGGCCTTTTGGCCCCTCCTTAGTGCTTCACAGACCTGATCTAGAGCACTAGCTAGCGTAGCCAATGTTATTTTTTATAATATGCTAAGTATATAACAACACAACGAACCCTACAGTACCCCAGCTTTTTCACTTTACTGACTTCTCGTGTACATATTGAATCTTCACTCAGATTACGTACTTAATTTGTAATTCAAACTCAAAAGTCTTCATGATGAGTTCAACATCATGGGTTAAAAAGTTTTCCATTCTCACTACGAACCCAAAAAATAATGAATTGAGGATGCTTTCGCTTAGTTCACCTGCTGTCAGACTGATCTCACCTTTTTTCCCCGTATACAACCTTGCCTTGTGAAATTTTAGAGAGCAATGCTAATTAATTCTTGTTTTGAGGATCATATGCTTGTGCCTGTCGTAGCCCAAGTCATAATAACAATAATTTTAGTTTGACAACTAACTAGTAGCAGATTTTCCGTTCTCTAAATAGTAATGTTAATTTACCGCTGTGTCATATGAAATCTGTCACAAAATTGACGATATGTTTAAAGTCAATGAGGCGACTGTTAACTATTACCATCAACCTATTATTCAAATCAGGCCTAGCTGGAATCCCACTACACGGAGAACAAGCCCTATTTACCTTGTTTCTTCTTTCTGGGTTGGCCAGTTTATGTTTAACTTGGTTCAGTGATCTGAGTGTTGTGCTTGTGCCTGCTTCTCGACCACTAATTAATAACCATATTCTCAGACAAGTAACAGAAATGCAATCTCAAAAGATTTGTATCGAAAAGGAGGGAAAAAACGATTGAGTGAAAAGACATCGAGAATTCCCAAAAAAGAGCTTAGCCGAGGATAGAGGCAAGCAAACTGTATAACCCAATTCCCCAAATTCGAGATAAAATAATAAAGGGAAGGACAGATGAAGGTCTTGCTAGTAGGGCAGCGCAGTATATTACACGCATATAATTTCCAAGCATGAGTTGACCTGCGTATTTGGAAAATCAATCATTGTTGATGATCTCATCTCTGAGTACAGCTGAATCCAACTTCATCTCTGGGTTTTATTATCTTTTACCCTGACCCAAAAAGTGTTCTTCGTCCATAACAACTGATAAAAAAAAGAACAGACATGAAAGAAAAGAGCTAGCCTGGAGTTATGTTTATGTTGGATGACAGTTTGTCATTGCGACTTTCTCTATGTGAGATATAAATTAAAAAACGCAGATCTGGAATGCTTTTTTATATGACTGGGTTATGCAAAATCCACAGCCAAAGGGGAAAACCACTGCTTTTCGGTAAAACTTGCTTGTCATCGTGAGAGTGACTGCATGGTAGGAATCCTTAGCGATAGAATAGGACACTGGAGATTATAAAATGTACAAAAAACTTGAGGGCATCAGTTAAATATTGATGGATGGATCCAATAGTCATGAAAGCTTGGGATTACACCAATTACTCGCCTTTCGTGGCCTTTGGAGTAGCTACGAGCCTATGACTATGGGGGCTAATAGTGGGTCCCATTTACTTTCCGTGGCTATCAGGGACCATCACAATTAAGTGTCAAAAAAGAAATATAATTATTAAAAAATCTCAACAACAACCTTAATAACTTGTAATGACAAATTTTAGAGTAGAAAATAATAATTTTGAAGATTTGTTTTGTAATTATTTTTCTTTTTTAGTACCCTATTATAATTCTCCCTAACTATTATGAAGTTTCTATCTAATTAGCTCGTTTATGCATATGATTGTGATCTACTGATCTTTTTTCCCTGTGAAAGTCTGAGTCATGATGGGATCTTGGTGCATAGAATCTGACCATAGACGGCTCATATTCAAATGGAACGTAACGAATGGCTCAGATGGGGAACACGACATGCATGAATTTGTGCTATATACGCACGGAATGAATATACCTGGTTCTTACGTTAACTTCTTATTTAATGCCCTGTATATTTTTATGATTAATTAGCAGACATACACTGTTTATTTCATATTAATTAAGAATTGATTGAAAAAAACCATTCATCAAATCAAAAGTGCACCTAGTTGTTTTTATTTATTTGATCTACTGGCTCACTATAGCTAGTATCGCTGACTAATCTAGCACATGGTCATATAGGTTCCGCAGCGTTCGTCTATTTGAGTTTAAGCTAGCGCACAGCAGTATTGGAATACCACCACGTAAATTACAATTTAGAAGGTGTTCCATGTTTTCCTTTTTTGGGGTAAAAGTGTTGCCTGTTAAGACATAGTACTAGGCCGTCGCTGCAAAGGGGCCCGGGTGTGTGTGGGTAAAGAATGGGCTGATATGAATGTGGGCGAAAAGAGTAGGTTGACCAGGCCCAAAATTCTGGTCAACGCTCCTGCCGGAGAAGCACTTGTAGGGCCTATTTGGGATAATATTAAAAAAATACTTATAAACACGTTTCATATTAGTTGAAATAAAACTCTCACATATTTATCTTGTATTCTGTAAATCATGATTAAAAAGTACTTATCTCGTATTTTATAAATTACAACTAAAAAGTTACTTATAAATTATTCCAAACAAGCTCATAATCAATTGTGTCAGCACAAATCTCAAAAAGAAAAAGGGTTTAGTACTTCATAGCTCTGTTATTTTGGGCTAAAGTGTAATAAAAAAAATATTTTGAAGTGTCTAATGTATTAAAAAATTATTTCAAGATGGTTGATGTTATTAGAAAAATATTTGAGGATACTGAATACAATTAAGTCTTATTATTTTTCATTCAAATTTCTACTACCCATAACAATAATCAGGCATCATGACTAAACAAGTTTGCACCTATTTGAGGTAATGGTGAAAATCACTCATAAACACGTTTTATGTAAGTCGAGACGAAACTCCTCTTATATGGGGGTAGAAGTAGGCTAGGCCCCTATTAAAGGCTTACGGTTTAGTCTACTTTAAGCCTAACCTAGCCTATTTAGTAAATAGGCCAGGCTCAGGCTTAGACCTATTGCAAGGCCTATTTAGGTAAAAAGGCCAGGCCTATTTTTATAAAGCCTAGCCTACAAGTCTACGGGCTTGGCCTATTTAATTATTTTTTTTTTAAATTTACACTATTATATAATATAATCTAGATTAATTTTATAAATTATTTATAAAATTACTAACTTAGCCATAATCCTAAGTCTCACATCCCATCATTCATACAGAAACGCAACTCTTTCATCAATCAATCTTTCACCTCAACATTTCTTTTCTTTGATCGCTCAAGATGACTGCGTTAGCTCACTCTCTATCCCCTGACTTACGTTGTTCACTAAAGCATAATAATTATAGTAAGTTTGTTTTAGTGATGCCCAAATGAAATATTATAATACTGCTAGAAAAGCAAGAGGTAAAATCTAGTTTTAATTACATGCCACTTGTTGGGTTTAGTTGATTTTAGAAAATATACCTCCTTAGTCAACATGTAATTAATTTTTCTTATTCGTATTTGCTGGAACAATTGTTGTCACTAAGCATTCTTTTTCCTTACTAGACTCTTATTATCTCATATTGTATGTGAGAATAGATCCTAAGCTTTTAAGACATAATGTAAGCTTTAAAATAGATTTGAAGAGTTATACATGAATTTGGAGGCATGTGCTTCTAAGCCTACTTAAATACCTAAATTTTAAGTAGGCTTTTAAAAAGGCTTTTAGGCCTTATCAGGCCTTTTGAAGGCTCAGGCTCGAGTTTAGAAAGAAGCCTACATGCAGGCTCAGACTCAGGTCTAAGCTTTAGATCTCTAATGCAGGCCCAGGCCTATTTAACTAAAGCCTGACCTAACCTAGTTTATTTTCACCCGTATAATCTCATATACTTGTTTCGTATTATATAAATTACGATTGAAAAACTACTTATAAGCTGTTCTATATAGGTTTTTTGTTTATCATGACATGGTACAGGAAACAGGACGTTGATTTACAAATTTTTGCCGACACTGGTTCACAAGCAAAACACAGAGTTTAGAAAATCTCATGGATCCACCCTCTACCATCTTCAATCTTACCAGTCTGAATACCCGTGAGTGTGGAGCTCAGCTCTTGACAGATCGTTCCCCTCCCTGTTCTGTATTCCATCCTGTACACACAACTCCACATTTCAGTCTTTTAGTTTCCTGTTTTGTTTTTGTTTTTTAAAATTTTGGTGGCAAGATTACTTTTTATACCGGGATATGGTCATATGTATGGTGGTGGGGCAACATGAATTATGGAGATATCTTTTCAGCTCATGTAACGAAGAAAATAGGAACCATCTCATGCTTGCAATTACCAAGGGATTAGTTGATTTTATGTCAGCGATTATGAGTGAGAGGCGCCGCTTTACCTTGCATCTCTGTAAGTGATGGTTCCTACAGGGGCAACGCCAACAGCAGTACCAGTGCAGAAAACTTCATCAGCCTCCGCTAATTCATCCACTCCCACGGCACGCTCCTCCACCTGATCATCACATTTGCAGGATTCATCATTATAATTCCATCACAAAAAAGTTTGCTGAAGACCCTGCTTCCAATCAAACACAAGAAACCAGAAGAAATGCGGAATGAAGACCAAGTTTCTTGTCAAATATGAGCGTAAAAGAAGTGGAACCTGATAGCCAAGATCACGAGCAATTTCAATGACACTTTTTCTGGTGATTCCCGCAAGAATGGTTCCGTTGGTGGCTGGTGTTGAGATGTTTTTGCCCTTTGTGAATTCGAAAAACCAAATAAGACGGGCTACTTGCGACAATGCTTGTAGGATTAAAAATGTGCAGTGGTGCAGGCATATCTAGAATTCAGAGGCAAATACCTTTGCAATAAAAATGTTACAAGACGACACCTCCTCCAGATTCTTCTTGGTCTGCGAGTCCAGGTACAGCACATCCGAGAATCCCCTGTTTTTTGCTCTCATTTGTGCCATCAGAACCTACATTTCAGCACAAACAACACTTTATGCACGAAGTTCTACGGGTCTCGCTAAAAAAAGGGAAAACAACTTTTGAGAGATTGTAATTACGGGAGCATAATTTGAAATGGTTTTGACGCTTCCGGTCCCGCGACGAGAAGCACGATCCGTGTCCTCCTCCACGTACAAGTTAAGCGGTGCCGTACCCTCCTGCAGCAACTTGGACGTGTTTTATTTGTGTTGACATGGTCTTTAGATATTGTTTTCTTCTATATAAAAAAACAAGAACAAGTAACTGACTTTGAAATAGGTGCCCACGGGAGAAGCATATATGAGGAATGTATATTCGGGCGCCGGGGCCAAACCCAATACGGGACCCGTCCCTATGAGCAGAGGCCTCAGGTACAGCGATCCCTTGGCCGGTGGAGGAACCTGCTTTCGCCTTCCACGTAAGTCCATGGTTGAACTTATAGTAAATAAATCAAATACTGTCTTTTATCAATAATATAAGGTTCCATTTTATTTCTTTTTCACTTATATTTATATATTGGTTTTTATAGTGATATTTTTAATAATAATAATTTTAGTCAAAACATTTTATTAATAAAGATATTTTAAAAAATACAATACTTATTTACTATAAATAACTAATTTAATTTATTTTTTTAAATTTTTTTAAATTAGTTAACTAATTCCTCTATTTATATTTAGTATCTGAAATAGTACAGAAGGCGCAGAGAGTAACTACCCAGCGCCTGTTGGCCAAGGCAGTTTGCTTGAGAGCATTCACGAATTGATCCACGGAAGGTGCAGGCATGCACATTCGGTCTGCACCCATCCGCATGCGCATGGCATTCTGTTCCGGACGAAACAGAAGTAGGTGCCCATTTTCCTTTCTGTGTGCTTTCGTCCCTTCAAACACTCCCTGTTCAGAAAGCCGTGGGGTATGAGGAAACAAGGGGTTTTCATTTGAATCACGAAATTATCTGTCTCCGAGAATTTATCCTTCACAGTCTACTCACTTGGCCGTAGTTTAGAACTCCGGCGGAGGGGCTCACTTGAAAGTTCCCGAAAAGACGAAGTTGTCCTCGTCCAAAGTTGCGGTCCCCGCTACACTTGGCCACGTACATGTAATCGGTCGGCATCAGGCCAAATCCTAGGCCATCCCATTCCGCTTCTGCGTCCCCATCCTCCCTGCCAATTCCACCAAGAGATAATTTATAAAAAGAGGGATGAGGGATCAAATTAGAGACGCACGTTTTTATTTTGGATTTGCATGTTTATTTTATAATTCAACTTTCATACCGATATATATAAGATTAAATTAGAACAAACTATGCTGGTGATAAGTTGTGACAGTTAGAAAGAAGCTAGAAAGTGATATATGACTAAGTTGTCGGTTACGAAAGAGTGGTATTATGAGGGGATTGATTGTTACCTGTGAGGTGACGATGGATGGGCCAATGGTTGCAGGGAGGAGACTTGAGACGCAAAGCTACGGTAGCTGCGTCCCATCTACCACCATTAATTGCCAAGCATCAGCCAGATTGTCCGCCATTGAACAATACGCATGTACGATAATGACTAAAGGCAAAGGAGAAAAATATGATAAATACTCGGTGGTCAAGTCACACCACCCCGCCCGATTTAAGAGCGGACGATTCTAAAAGCGCTTGTGCCCTATATTTGGTATCGTTCTAGAGTATCTTATAAATTTTGAACCCAGAAAAGGGTATTTTACGATTCAAGTAAGTTTTGTGGAGCTCATCTACATCCCGTAACTGCAGATACTGCCCTGGGAACAAGGTATTTATTATTTAATAGTTGTTGAATAGGGCAAATAAAAACTCATGCAGCATCAATCATTATTTTGAATTTACAAGTATGACCGGTAGGAGTTGTGTCCAGGACATACACAAGCCTATTCTAGCCCATTCGATCCCTGAACAAAACACTGAGTATTGTATTATGGGGATGACTGAACGAAAGAGCTGTATACACAATACAATTGTTTCGAAGGGAACAGAACAGAAAAGAAATAATTGTGTTTAGAAATTAACATTAAGTAGATCAACCCCAGTTACTTAAGCCGTAAGTGTATCATATATGTGTGTGTATATTTATATGTATGTATGCCCTTTCAAGAAAGATGATATGTCCTATTGAGTTTGGACTCGTTTTAATTTCATGGCGTGGGAAGGAAAGAAATAACTGTGGGTTGAAATTAGCATTAAATAGATCAACCCCAGTTAATTTAGCCGTGAGTCTGTATATGCCCTTTAAAGAAGGATGATCCGTCCTTCGGACCTGGTTTTAATTGCATTTGTGTGGGAGGAAAAGAGAAGAAAATGGAGTTGACAATGCCACTACTATAGGTGTTGTTGAAACGAAGGGTGAATAATGGTGGGAAAGATATTAATGTTGAGCACTTGATAGATCATAGTAAACGGGAAAATATATGCATAATCGTTTCAAAGAGATGGATGTTGTAATAAAGAAAGAAGAAGAGATAAGAACCTTGGAAGGGAGGGAAGAAAAAGGAGCTAAACTTGGGAAGCACAGAGTCCTGCCAGTCATGCTGATCGATGCGTGATCAGTACTGCTACAACAATGGGAGACAGGCCAAGCTAAGTGATCGATGCGAAATATTGTTGTTTTGGCTTTTAGGCCGCTCACTGCACTATCTATAATTCTCTCTCTCTATATATATACACACTCTTCCGGTCTTAAACATAACACTTTTTTTGTAGTTACGCTATAAAAAAAAAGTTTTATATTTAAGATCAGAAGAATATATATATATATATATATATATGCTCTCACACACAAACGCACATGTTCAAACAAATCCAAACCACAAAGTACTGAGAAACAGATCGATTTCACTGTGTGCGTGTGTGTACGCATGAAATAATATGGCCGACTTTATTAGTTAACTATGACGTCAAAACTATTTATTAGAGCACACCAGAACTCTAATCTCCACGTTTTCAACATCCCCCCCCCCCCCAAACTAATTTACTTCTTGTGATCCTGCTTATGACTTTGGTCAAAAAAAAAAAAAGATCTTGCTCATTAAGTTGTCTTTTTTTAAAAGATTTTTTTCCAAATGTGCTTTGTAGTTGTTTCCAAAGTCGACACTACTTGAATTAAAATTCTTGGCCACGTGGATGTGATCTCATTAAAAGCAATTCTATAATCGAGACGTGATTATTACTCAATAAAATTATTTAACATGAGGATCACACCCAGAATCGTTCTCCTCCTCGCTCTTGTATTATTTCACATAAAATTATTTATTAATACTACATCAATTTAATTTTTCATATTTTGAATCAAATATATTGAAATTTCAATATAATACAATTCTTCATTCTCTAATCTAAAGAAGTCAATATTCTTAAATTCTTTTATTTCCAAAAGCGTATGTCAATTTGAATCAAGTCTACCAAAAAAATGCAGAATTTGTTAAAAAAAAGTTTATTGTGGACCAAATTAATCCGATTCGAATAAAACTAACATCATAGTCAAATACTATAGATAAAAAATGTTGTTCAGTTAATATAATTTGCTTTAGCTCAAATCAAACCTTTAAGTATCCTTAAACATTGACAGACTTATATTATATTCTATTAATCAGGTACGTTTGTAAATAATAAAATTTATCGTAAGTTTTATCATATAGAATGAAATTGATATAATTGTGCTTATTAAGAATTTTTGGGACAAACAATTTATTAGAATTGATACATTGTGTGGGTGTAGATTCCGAACATGACATCGCTAATGGACCCCCGGGGTTCCTAACTGCAACAGGACTAATGCCCGCGGCCCACGGACTACCTAACTTGCCCATATGCACAACTACCCTCCCCGGCCGACGTTTTACTTCCGTTTTTCCTTTTATAAAATTTAAAAAAAATCTGAAATAATCTAGTGGAATGCTAGATTTAGTAGAAAGAATTAATCCCAATAACTTAGCAAATGAAGGTTCAAATTTTTATTAAGAGAAATACTCATGTTTAGTACCTGTTTCAAACAAAAATACCTCCATGTGTCTAGCTAAAAAGAAAGAAAGAAATATTAGATAAGTTTAAGTACTAGACAGTACATAGTTTTTTCTAATTTTTTTAAACTATTAATTAAAACTGATGCCATACATTTTTTGGAGTTTTAAGCTATATCGCACTCTTCTCTGTGATAGGGTTTTTTGACTTTTTCCCCCTTTCGAAATATTCTGGGGACCGGCTACAATTAAAATCAACATGAAAGATCTGATGTAAAATATCTCGCCATAATCAATTTGTGCTCTTTTTCTACTTTTCCCAGTTTTGGACGCCATGTTCCCAAGTACTAGAAAAAATGAATTTTTTTTTTTAAAAAAAAAAAACTGGCCGTGCTTCCCTTTTTTTTCTAATGAAAAGTCTACGGGAGAATGTCTAAAACAAAACCGACGCAGAATAATTCAAACAACCCAAAAACTCCCACTTACCTACAAACTTCGTTTTTATCAATTCCAAGACGCGTTTCGTCTTTCTAAGGGCGTTGCAAACAGGCGCTTAGCATTGTCCTAGTATGTGATCCAAACTCCTCCTTCATCCTTCACCCCCATGGTGTCGTCTAGCAGAGTCATTATCCACAATTTAGTGCACTACATGATTTTCAAGGTTTCATCACCATGGCTAAAGAAAGAAAAATGAGCAAATAACCTCACCAGGACACAACTAGGATTATTTTATTTTATTTTTGTGAGGGGACACAACTTGGAAAATACTACAGCTTATCGTTATCGTAGCAAAGAAACCTGATTACGAGTTATAAATCACTAATATATTTGTTAGGCCTGGATCTAAATTATCCTAAAAGGGTCTGGGCTGGACTGCGATTGTAATTATCCACGAGATACTTCCATATTGCGGTGCACTGTTTCTTGTTGGGGTGATACCATCTTGCAATATGATGCACCGCCCCAGAATATAATTTTACTTTATCAACTCGATTAGTGCTCACACGCCAAATATATCCCCGTCGTCATCATTAATGATTCTCTTTTCCTCCAACCAACCGATTTCTGCAGTACTGGCAATATTCCTCACACAGCTAATTCAAATTTTACACGTGCAAAGCTCTCCCAGGCTCACACATTAATAATTGATTTCAATAATTGATTCTTCATGATCTTGATAAGTCTCATTTAAATTAACAGCAAGCGGCCATCAAAGTTTCCTCATCAGTCGTACGTCTTTATCTTCGTTCTATTGGCCCAATCCAACAAATATGTACAGAGTCACCTCTTATACTCCTCTGATCCTTATTATATACCAATTTGACTTTTATTTGGTCTTACCCAATCCATTTTGTCTCTTATATTTATGCATTTTTTCCAAGATATCCTTCTAATAGTTTTAGCCAATATACTTAATTAGCAAGGATATTTTAGGAATGACATTATTTATTATAAATAACCAACTTAACTCACTTCCTTAATTAAATAAATCAATTGGGTCTATAATTAGGACAGGAGGAGTATTATTTTTCTTTCAAATTTCTACTATCCTTGCTAATAATCAGACGTCATGACGGAACTATTTTATTTATCGTGGCATGGCACAGGATATTGATTTACACATTTTTTACGACACTTGTTTACAAGCAAAATAGCAAGAATTTAGTAAATCTCATGGATCCACCCTTTGCCATCTTCAATCCTACCAGTCTGAATACCCGTGAGTGTGGAGCTCAGCTCTTGACAGATCGTTCCACTCCCTGTCCTGTATTCCATCCTGTACACACAACTCCACATTTCAGTCTTTTAGTTTTCTGTTTTGTTTCCCCCCCCCCCCCAAAATTTTGGTAGTAAGATTAATTTTTATACTCGGGCTGTGGTCATATGCATGGTGGGGCAACATGAATTATGGAGATATCTTGTCCAGCTCATGTAATGAAGAAAATAGGAACCATCTCATGCTTGCAATTTCCCAGGGATTAGTTGATTTTATGTTGGCCATTATGAGTGAGAGGCACTGCTTTACCTTGTATCTCTGTAAGTGATGTTTCCTACAGGGGCAACGCCAACAGCAGTACCAGTGCAGAAAACTTCATCAGCCTCCGCTAATTCATCCACTCCCACGACACGCTCCTCCACCTGATCATCACATTGCCAGGATTCATCATTATAATTCCATCACAAAAGTTTATTGAAGACTCTGCTTACAATCAAACACAAGAAACCAGAAGAAATGCGGAATGAAGACCAAGTTTCTTGTCAAATATGAGCGTAAAAGAAGTGGAACCTGATAGCCAAGATCACGAGCAATTTCAATGACACTTTTTCTGGTGATTCCCGCAAGAATGGTTCCGTTGGTGGCTGGTGTTGAGATGTTTTTGCCCTTTGCGAATTCGAAAAACCAAATAAGACGGGCTACTTGCGACAATGCTCGTAGGATAAAAAATGTGCAGTGGTGCAGGCATATCTAGAATTCAGAGGCAAATACCTTTGCAATAAAAATGTTACAAGACGACACCTCCTCTAGATTTTTCTTGGTCTGCGAGTCCAGGTACAGCACATCCGAGAATCCTCTGTTTTTTGCTCTCGTTTGTGCCATCAGAACCTACAGTTCAACACAAACAACACTTTTATGCTTCAATAACTCGATCATCTACATAGAACATCAACCTTATCAAATAATGTCTCTCAATTATCTATTTCTGTCAATGGACTTCCCAAAGGGCACACCGTCTGAGCCAAGTTTCATGGGTCTTACGACTAAAAGGTAAAAAACAAATTTTGAGAGATTGTAATTACGGGAGCATAATTTGAAATGGTTTTGACGCTTCCAGTCCCGCGACGAGAAGCACGATCAAAGTCCTCCTCCACGTACAAGTTAAGCGGTGCCGTACCCTCCTGCGGCAACTTAGACGTGTTTTATTTGTGTTGACATGGGCTTTAGATATTTTCTTCCATATAAACCAAAAAAAAAAAAAAGAACAAATAACTGACTTTGAAATAGTTTCCCACAGGAGAAGCATATATGAGGAATGTATACTCGGGCGCCGGGGCCAAACCCAATACGGGACCCGTCCCTATGAGCAGAGGCCTCAGGTACAGCGATCCCTTGGCCGGTGGAGGAACCTGCTTTCGCCTTCCACGTAAGTCCACGGTTGAACTTATAACAAATACATCAGATACAATGACAGAATGCGAGAGAGTATTTACCCAGCGCCTGTTAGCCAAGGCAGTTTGCTTGAGAGCATTCACGAATTGATCCACGGAAGGTGCAGGCATGCACATTCTTTCTGCCCCCATCCGCATGCGTATGGCATTCTGTTCGGGACGAAACAGAAGTAGGTGCCCATTTTCCTTTCTGTATGCTTTCGTACCTTCAAATAGTCCCTGTTCAGAAAGGCATAGGGTATGAGAAAATACGGGGGTTTTGTATTGATTTGTAAAAAGTTATCTGTCAAAATTTATCCTTCAGAATCTACTCACTTGGCCGTAGTTTAGAACTCCGGCGGAGGGGCTCACTTGAAAGTTCCCGAAAAGACTAAGTTGTCCTCGTCCAAAGTTGCGGTCCCCACTACACTTGGCCAC